TGGGTGGGCCTGGAAGTTGGGGAAGGTGTTTGGGGGGAGAGAGCACTGAGCCTCCAGGAGCTCTGCTGGGGCTCTGGGCTCACAGGCTGGGCTGGGCCAGGCCCCAGGCGGCAGGTGCTCCTGACCCCATGGCTGCCCCCAGGTCTGGGTGGGTGGGAGGCTCCCAGTGCCACGGCCTCCCTGACTCCACTCTGTTTGGTGGCTTGGCGTTCCCTGCCAGCCAGATGCCCTCCGCCACTGCCGCCGCTGGGTCACCTCGGGGCTGCTCTTTGATCTTGGGCTCACACGCAGACATGCTTACACACGCGTGTACACCCCCTGCCTCCACGCCCAGGCACTCCCCGGCCCCTCACCCTCCTGTCTATCCTTCCCAGCGTGGGGTGAGGTTGGGGCCTCAGGCAAGGGGAATACCACTGCTCTCACAGTTGGCAGGGACCCCAGGCCACTGGGATCCAGGCTGGATGATGAAAGCAAACAGACGAGGGGTTCTGTGTTTACTTCCCAGGGACAGCGCAGGCCTTGACTCAGTGCCTGCTTGCTGCCACCACCCTCCTCTTCTAGCTGCCCGACTCAAGACTTTGGAGACCGAGCTGGAGGTGGTAGGATGAATGGAGTTGCGAGTGAGGGACACATCTTGGCCCAGATGGGAGGCACCGTGAATGTGGATGTATGCACACAATTGTGAAGCGAACTCTCTCCTATACACACACGTACCAAGATACACAATGACGCCTCCACACACAATTGTGAAGCGAACTCTCTCCTATACACACACACACACACGTACCAAGATACACAATGACGCCTCCGCATCATCACACACCCGTGGACTCCCACTTGAGACAAACGTCATCTGTAGGCACATGTGTAGACACAAACACACACCTGAGACCCCTTAGCATCACACACGTATAAAGCCAAAGCCATAACACTCCACGAGAGAGAGGGCCCCCAGGTGCACAAACACACATCACTCAAGTCACCCCCCCCCACACACACACACACGCGGTGGCAGAGGCACCTCCCTATTCTGGAAAAGATCTTGGATGGAGAATCAGCAACACCACCCAGCAGCCAAGGTGACCCAGCTCAGCCTGTCAGGCCTCAGTTTCCTCATCTGGCAAATGGGGACAACAGTCCTCACCCTGTTGACCCCTGGGGCTGTTGCGAGGTGGGAAGCAGAATACGTCTGGGATACACAGAGCTGGTCTCACCGAAGGCCCTTGCTAGACGGCAGTCACAGGCACACGCTGAGGGGTTCTCGGGCAGGGGCTCCAGAACAATGGGGACCCCGGCCCCCATATCGCCCTTCTTCCTGTCAGAGAGCAGGCCTTCCCCTCCCCCGATGCCTGAGGGAGACAGAAGGGAGGAGGGCCTTCAGCCCAAGGACGCCAGCCGGGTTGGCGAGGGTTAAGGGACAGCTGCCAGGCGGGGCTGAGCTGAGCAGTTTGGTTTGAGGGCTGCGTGCAGGCAGGAGCAGCGAGGCGGCAGCCGGCAGACTTGCTGGAGACACTGCATTTTATTAGGGCTGGGCTGCCAGCAAAGGGAGGGAGAGGGAAAAAAAGGGCAGAAAGAGAGAGGAAGGAAGGAGGGAGGCTGGGCGGGCAGGCTGGCGGGCGGGCTGCTGCGGGATGAAAGGATGTTGTAAGCTCCTAATTCCACCCTGCTCATCCCTGCTCTGTCAGGCTGGATCAACTGCCCCGTGACCTCCCTCGGGGTCAGCCCCACCCCTGGCCTCCCCTTCCTCCTCGCCTCACCTCCGGGCTGCTCGGGTCACCTTCTTCACCAGCACTGGTGGGACACAAGGGCAGGGGCTTGGGTGGGGGGCCTGGGTGGGGCCAGGTGCTTTTTGACTACACCCATCACCCTGTGAAAACCTTTGGGGAAGAGGGGGGCTAGAGAACCCCGGTCTGCCCTGAGGGTCACTGTTCTCCAAACCTGAGTAACAGCTGGCATTTCCTAACCGCCTGCTCTGTGCCAGGCACTTGGCATGTGATCCCCACAACAACCTGGGCGCCTCATATGGGGGGTAGAGTACCCGCTTGGGACACAGAGGTCAGTCACATAACTAATACTCCTGGCAGTGCTGGGATTTGAACCCAGGTCTGTCTGAAGAATGGATTCTCTTAATGGGCTTTTCTGCTACTCAGTTTACGAAGATGCCCCAGGGCAGAGTGTCCCAGAGCTGGAGCCACTGAAGCTCCGCCCACCTCAGCCACCAGGGCTCCTCCCAGGGAAGAGCCCAGGGAGAGGGGGAGGGGGGAGGGGCTGGGTTTCTTCCCCAGGGCTGGTCCTAAAAAAAGCTTCCTGCTGTGGCCTGGAATGTGCACGCTGGAGTCAGCTGACACGGCCTGAATCCTGCCTCCACCTCTTCACGGAGTGTGTGATCGTGGGCAAGTCACTTAACCTTCTTCCTAAGCCTCGGTTTCCTCATCTGTCACAGAGGGGTGATGCTACTTACCCAGCAGGGTTGTTGAGAGGATTAAATAGGATAATGTGAGGAAAATGCTTAACAAGTTGCCCAGCGCGGTGAGTGCTGCTCAGCTAATGAAAGTTGCTAGTGACGATGGATGACAGGGCGGATGGGGCTTGCTCCCCACTCACCTCCTGCCCCCTCTTCCGCTCCCATACCCCTGGATTCAGACCCAGGTCCCTGGCTGCACTTGCCACCTTGGTTGATCCACCCATTTCTAGGGACACTGGAAACTAGAGTAAGTCAATGAATAGGTATTGAGCACCTGCTGCACGCCAGGCAGCTCTGGGAGCTGGTACAACGGATGAGCGGAGCCCGGGGAAGGAAGGCACAGACCCGTGCTGGGTGCTGCAGGGCCGGGCAGGGCCCACCCTGGACAGGTCCCCTCGTTGGGCAAACCCAACCCAGTCGGGGAGGACAGGATGGCTTCAGGGGGCAGGGGAGGGACAGTTGGTGGCAGTGGGAAGCCTTTAGGGAGAGGTGGCATTTGAATGATGCCTTAAAGCATGGCAGCTATGACAGGCAGAGCTGGGGGTCTGGGAGCATACTCCCTGGGGACCCCGCGTACAGAAT